GGAACATCAACAGATACCAACTATGCAAATGATGACTTAATTTGCATAATTGGTGTGAAAATTCTGTGATTCCTCATTGGTGAATGCTGGGAATTTAAAACGGGAATATTATACCTTGTGACATGTGTAAGTTACTTAAAGGTTAACACCACTATGCATATATATATACATTGTATATATATGTTAATGTAGAGGTCATTTGCATAATTAATGAGGACATGTTAAAATTAAGTATGGCAAAGGAGAGGAATTTACACAAAAAATATCGTAATCTGAATTTAGAAAACCATAGATTAAACTAGATTGTGCTAATTACGACGTTATTTCCATAGTCAATTAGACAAATAATAAACATTTACAATAACTCATATTTAATGGAGGTACGAGATCTCCGAATTCTTGTTATTTATAAATGATCTGCCATGCACTGTAACCAATAGAATGGCTCTTTTTGCGGATGACACCTAATGTTACAAACAAATTTCAACTGTTTTAGATTGTGTTTAGATCTCTTCAGAAAGGCATTGGGTGAATGTATAATTAAATTAATATCTGGTCAAAGAACTTTAATCCTGACAAATGCAAAATACTCACCATAAGTAGATCAAGAAATCCAATCAAATTTACCTACAAAAGTAATGAAACCGTTCTCGAGATTGTGTCTGAATATACCGATTTCGGGGCATTTGACGTTTAATTCTCACGTTCAAAATATCATATCAAGAGATAACTCTGCTCTAGGGGTTATAAAAGGGTTAAAAGAATTTTGTATCTCACCCTTGTCTGAAGAAAACTCGAGTACTGCTCAGTTGTATGGTCTCCGTATAGGCACAATCACATTACCCAACTTGAAAAAATCCAAAGACGGGCCACCAAGTATATACTCAACGACTACATCACAGACTATAGGACATGATTGATACATCGCCCACTTCTACCACTTTCATACCGACGAGAAATTTTAGACCTATGCTTTTTATTCAATTGTTTCCACGGACATTATGATATTGACTTTCACAAATACATTACATCACCTCACGTATCTTTAAGATCCACCTCTCAGTTCAAACTTCAAGTATCTCTTGCACTACGACATTCAAAAACTCTTATTTTCAAAAAAATAGTACACATTTGGAACTCACTACCGGTCACCACCAGATCCCTCAAGTCATGTCCGAACGTATCCTATGTAACTTTTAGAAATTCTATACATAAACACTACCAACACCTCCTGTTAAACTCTTTTGATCCGCAAAACATCTACAGTTATCGTTTCCTTTGTTCTTAGACCCTTATATATTACAACTGCTACTATTATTACTATCACTATCATCATTACTGTTTTTAGTATCATTTATATATTTGTAATCATAGTCACAGTTGATGTTTTTTATCATTTACTTCCTATAATATCGATGTCATTAGTTGCATTTATCATCTCCATATCACTTGTATTTTAAATCTCTGCATGTTTTTATCTGGACAGGGGGCGTGGAAAAGGCATTTGCCTGTTCCCCCTGTCCTGTCTTTGTGACTAAGCCCTAATAAATAAATAAATGTAGTTTCACACCCCTCATGCTTTTGCCAAACTTGTGGTGTATTCTCGTTGAGCGGACATGGAACAACGCAAACCATGTCGCTTAAAGGCACTCAAAGCGATTTCATGGCGGTAAAACTGGCTTTTAAAGACAATTTTCTTGTCATTCTTTTAATTTAGTAGGTCGAATCAATCCTGAACATACTGATATCTGTGTGGCAAAAATGCGATATCGCTGACAGAAAACGGCTCTTTGTTTTGTATCGTTCTAGCTATTCATGGGTGGTACTCCAAAATTAGGAGACTGTTCACGTAGCTTATTTTGAGCGCTTTAAGTATGAAATGATGATGAAAATGTTTTAAGAAATGACAGTACAGTAAAAGTCGATATCAGACAGATTTCCTCTCCAGAATGCTTTTGTTTCGCCACCCTGAAATTGCATCCGATGTCTTTCAGACTCTAGGGAAACAATAGGACTGTTGCAACACACCATATCAGAGTCCATCTTGGCAAGACGTCGGCTCCAATTAGACTACACAGACATTTGAAAGTGAAAACTCACCAAAAATCCAATAGATAAAGGGGGATTGTCGCTCAAATTCTTTTAAGTCAGTCTCACTGGCGGTAGTCAAAACTTTGTGAGTTGAGATAAAGTGCAGGTCATTCTCCGGGTCACCTCAGGGTCCTTCCCATTAAATGGACTGTCCCAAACTCACACCTATACAAAAGTAGAACATTCCAAAATAATTTCTGCCCAAAGCGACTTATTTGCCAAGTCATCCAAGTTTAAGATGGGACCTTCCCAGGTTGAAAACATTTAAACAAAGATTGTTTCATCTAGTCAAGAATGAAGTATTCCATTGGCCTCATGTCCGAAAACATTCCCACAAAAATACAACTTTTTTTGTGTAATCAGCCCTGTCAAAAGGTGATTCGACTGTCTCACAGTGCCACCTAGCAATAGTTATCAGAACTGAAGCAACTTAGTATGAAAGGTGGAACTGTATACATTGCGTGTCGCTCGTATGCGGCATTTTTTTTGGACAGTTTTCTTCCCAAAATAAACGTAACGGCCTGTGACCGTCAAGACACTCCCAACAAGTCAGTGGTTAATTGGTAGAAATAAAATGCTGTTAAAAATCTCTGAATCAGAATCTCCCTTCTCAAAGCCTTCCTTTTACCAAGGAGCTATTATCACAGAGCTTTTGTGATGAAAGCTCCTTCCAACAGTCTCCAGTCTCCCGCCGCCATGTTGATCTGGTATTCACAGTTGGCCCGGTCTGTGGTGCAATGCATCATGGGTGCCACCTGGTTATAATTACATTAGCGCTACAAAAAACAATGTACGGCTGGAATCAGATGTTGTTGAGCCGAAACTGACGATTATAAAACAACAACCACACCCTACAATAGATAGAAATGGCAATAATATAACACAACAGCTTCGCAGGCACGCAGCACGGCGGCAGCTGGCTATTACATCTCCCAGTTTTCCCAGTTGAGTCACATCATGTTGCAATTTTATAGCAGGAGGGATTTAGACTCCTGTCACCATATATGTGTGTTTGAGTAAGAATTAACAGAGCACTCGTAAATATTATAATATTGTGCTTTGCAAATGTTATCAGTATAGTCGCTAGGAACAAATAGGCGACAGTTAAAATAACCGTGACCGTTACACACCAAACGTTAGGCTGGAAACTTTCACCATGGCAATTATTTTTATTGACAACCTTTATCATTATCATTAGTCATATTGCTATGGTGCATTTTCATAGGGATCATTATCACCAAAATGCATTTCAGAAATATATAGATAGTGGGGTAATGTGGCGTAACGGCTGAGCGTTCGGAACCAAGAGGTCCCGAGTTCGAACCCTGTCATGTCACCGACCCTGTGCCGTTGGGAAAGGCACTTTACACGACTTTCCTCAATTTACTAAAGTGAGTTGTCCGTTCGTGCGTTTCTCTGTTGTTCGCGGCAAAAAAAAAAAAAACAAGTTGAAAAAACGTACTTGAGTGTCCCATCGCCATGTCTTGTAATAAATGTATTGTTGGAATAGAAAAACAAACATGCAGGTAAGGACGAGTGCATGTAACGGACACGCCCCCTGCCCGATACAATGTCAGCGGTGACGTCACTGAAAAGAAGGAACTTTCACTTTCGTACGGCAATCATATCAACGTCCGTCTTCCGTTTTTGTCCGCCATATGATCGCGAGTTCCTCTGTAGGCTGTTCACAAGGAAGCTTGCTGCAAGTTCGTCTACAATTAACTCTCAGTGTTGTACATCTGATATCTACAGGGTGAGTATGTGTGTACGTTTTCAATGAGGCAGTGTAGTATATGTACGTCCTGTAAACCGTTACCGTTGTTCGGCAGATAGGCTGTACAGTGTTCACTAGTAGCCGGCTCAGTACAGTAGCCTTCGAAATTCTTCACTGACGGTTTCACAACTGTGACAAGCTAAACTATGGACAACTGGTCTAAGCTATTACAGGGAAGCTTGCTGCTGCAAGTTCGTCACCAACGCTCATTCTTGTCTCGCAGTGCGGCATATACAACCTAATCTCTCCCAGACTAACTACGCTGGCTATGTATCGGAGAATATTTGCTAGGGGCGTTTGACCGCCTTGGGGTTTGACTGGGAAAGAAACAACCTTCCCGCGGCCGGACTTAAATAATTTTACTCCTTTTTTTTACCGAATTCTATGATCCGTATTCCCGTAGAAAGGCCTGGTGGAGGCTATATACAACCTGCAAACACGTCACAGTTGTTTAGCAGATAGGCTGTAACAGTTACAGTTGCAGGTCCAGTTTGGCTTCTTCAGTTTCATACCTGTGCAAGGCTAAACGGCGGGCCGCCGTAGTACGGTTTGGTTAAACCTTAAATCTTTCAGCAACAGGTGTCTGATTTGGGCTTCTCGTGTTGGTAATTTGGCGCGTCGTTAGTCGGGTAGCCGTTTTCGCTTTGTGCGCCATGCCACTGTACATACAGAGTCGTTCTTTGTGTCCAGATGGCGAAAATTTTGCATGTTTTGTTACTTAATTCTAAATTGTGCCTTCTCAATGTCATATGGACCGTCAGATGATATTCATAGCAGATTTTGCTTCATTTTGTTCTTCCGTAACTTGCAATTTTGAATCGCTAGAAGCGATTTTATACAGGTAGGGTGTTGAGTATATACATACGGTATCCTGCATTGTACGTGTTGTTACTATGGTATTGGCGGCTTCAAAACGGGGAATCCCCTTCGTCACAAGCACGCACGTCATAACATCAACAAGTATTTGGGAAAAACACGTCACCGCTATTAAATCGCAGTGATATTAATAAGGATGTCAATTTTTGTCTTGCTGGAATTTTTTTTACGTATCAAATTGTGATTGAAGTGTCTTTAGACTCAGTATGGCAAAAAAAAAGTTCATGTTCACGAGCGATCCATGATCCTTTTCGCGCGCCGGCAGTGACGTCATCGGTTGTCGAAGAAGTCTGCAGAGCTGAGCTGAGTTTAGTTTTTTAGTTTTACGTAAATTACGCGAATAACAACGCATGATTTTGCGTTTTTGTGGCGGCTTGAGCAGCTATGCTATACCAAACTAGTCTGGTATTTCTGGTAAGTTTTTGAACCCTCTATTAAAATTATGTACCGATTTCGAACCCGACCCTCGACGAATTCAGTGGGCGGTGAAAAAGGGGGAGGGGGGCAATTTTTTTTCCGAGTAGAAGATCATAAATATTCCATGTCAGAAAGATATTTTTCTCGGACGATTCACAGCTCGTCCCTCATGATCGCGGCGGTGTTTTCCCTCGAAGTTTTCCCCAGGCGATTCCTGTCCAGGCCCGTTGTGTCAGTGATTCCGTGATGGGACGTTTTGCCTTTTTTTTTTTCTTTTTGCCTACTAGTAATTATGCCAGGATCCTCAAGATTTTTCAACCTTACAGATTCTTGCTTGCTGGCTTGTCACCAAACAGTTTCAGCTTTAGGCTTCTTCGTCATTGAGTATTCATCCTATTTGGGCAGTTTGACTGTCCTTCTATCGAATTCCATAGATAGTATATCAAACAACCCCCCTCCCCCCCAAAAAAGTGGTGGATTATACGTATACTGAGGTTTGACTGGAACTGCAGGAGGGGGTGTCAATAGTATGTAGTATATATGGATAAAGTTAGAATATGTCACAGTAAATGGGATTACAGTCGGGGTCTGTTGACTTAATATATGCAGTATAGTAACTTTCCTGGTGCTTATTATTGCTACCCTGGATGCCAAACTAGTATCGGGCCGTTAGCTGTTTTCCTTCGGCAGCCAAGAGCCCTTTGCCCACCTATCTAAATTACCGCTACGGGGGAGTTGAGCCAGAGGGGTCTGTCCGGCCCTATTATCGTTGGTAGGGCCAGCCAAACTCCCCCCGGGCTAGACTCCCCCGTAGCGTTAATTTACACCAGGGGGTGAAGGGCTCTTGCAGCCCAGAAAACGAGTTCTGGCTTCCAGGGTAGATTATTGCCATTTGTATGATACTGTGGATCATGTAGTAGAATGGAACCATCCTTTATTTTATCTAAAGTGTAGTCTGTAATGTGTTTTTTCAGGGATTTAATGCCAGGTCTAATTCTCCACCTGTTGAATATCTGCATGGTGTACATTAATCTCTAACTGTCGTTACTTGTTCACTTCTCAGATTACTGCATGTTTCCTGCCTGTGTTTTGTTCTGCTGCACCCGTCCATGAAGCTGCACCATCTCAACAGCAAACTTGTGATTTTTTCAACTTATGCTCCGCAGGTAAGGTCTTATAAAATGAGGGCCTTCTTGGGGGGATAGTGATTAAGGATTACGGAACATTTTTGCTGCCGATTATGTTATGAATTACATTAAATTCTAAGAGCTGAATACGACCAATTACACGCTACATCTAATATGCAAATTACTATGATTTGGGGTCTGCAGTCTACAGATTACGAAGACTAACAAGGCTGAGGCAATAAAAATCATTGCCAAGGCGACGACTGAATGATATATATTATTTCATGTGGTGGAGCTAGCAATCTACATTACAATTATCAGAAAAACATATTTCCCTATGTTATAAAGACATGCACGTAGTGAAATTTACAGGATGGGTGGAGGAGGTGTGGGGCAATATACCAAATACATGTATAGGAGGAATCAGCCGTTCTTCCCCAGCAATATAGATTTTATGATGACATACTTACTTACTTTACTTTGGTCGAGTTCCTGCTAGAACCAAACTGAAAACCATCCTCCACTTCACTCTATCCTCCACCAGAGACTGGATTTTATGTCTGGTCTGAAGTTGTTACTCCTTTGACTTTTTTTTTACCTTTTGTGGGTCCCAAAAGGACGGATAATTTCTTTTCTCTCTGTGACCTGTTTGAATATGGTCTTTGGCCAAAGACAGCTGTGCTCTCTGTCCATGGTGTGGGGAGAAGACGGATGACCACTAATTAATCATGCCAGGCAGCTGGATGGGTGGCACGTGGGCACCCCGTGTAAGTTACCTGCTTGATGCAAAAACCACATGGCCGAAGGTTTCCTCCAAACCAATTCCCTGGGGAACGCATTCGTGTAATTTTTGAAATTCTTTCAAAGCGATCGTAGTACTTACACAAATGCCTCCGCCCCAAAGGCGTCGCCAAAAAAGACTGATTACGCCTTGCATGCAAAAAAAGAGCATGCAAAGCCTGCTGTACGGTGCACTGTGTACAGATGTATACCCCACAGTGTCTGTGTTCATGTTTAATCTGTACCCCCCATACAGGGTCCTACTGTAACACTCAGACCTCCAGATGTGCCCCATGCCCACCCAGAACCTACCAGCCCCCTCCCCAGTACAAAGTGGAAAGATGTATACCCCACAGTGCCTGTGTTACGTCAGACTCTCTGCTGCACCATGACATCAAGGATGGAAGGACAGGAGTGGTCCTCAGGGAAGGGAACAGGACTCATGTATGTTTGTCTTGTGCTCTCACATTACCAGTATAGGTTGTCACTGTGTTTCCAGTGCCTTTTGTTTTACATCTGTTGTATATATCACCACGGTATGTACATGTACATGTTCAGTAAACCGATGCATTAGATACATACTAGTAGTCATCTATGTCAAAAGTTAAGTATGAAAAGTCACACAGACTTTTCTTGGTGTATTTTGTGAGGGAGAGTAATTTGGCAGCCCTAATGAAACTAACTTAGATAGTACCCAGGCTAATTATCACTGTTTAAACAGGCTTATATTATAATTCCAATGATGTGGAGGATCCTTATCAATGAGGATACATTTTCTGCTAGACTAAGGTAAGTCTTTGATACCAAAAGTCCATTACCCAAAACTTAATTGTATTATTTTAATACTTATATATAGTGATTGATGAAAAGTTAGAAAACTGGGCTGTTAACAGAAACTGTTTACAATGTTTTGGATTTGTATTTTCTGCTTAATATATATTCAAGTAATTGAAATTTACCTTAAAAATTGTGTGTGTACTTTCAGCAAGCTTATATAAGAAATTCTGTATTTTGTTGCTGTTTTAAGGACACAGTTTGCAAGTGTGAAGCTGGGAAGTACTGGAACGAAACAGAGCGGGGATGTCGGCAGATCACCAAGTGCAAAGTAGGCGAGGGGGTCTCCATTATAGGTAATGATTTTCTCATAAGTTGTGACTAGGCTGACTGTATCTTATATGTATCTCCATATACATTGTATCTTATATATAAATCTGGAAATGTTTGCCGTGTTTTTTTTTTATTTCATGGTTTTTCTGGCAACTCCAAATTCATGACTCTACAATTTACTATAATATATACACATTTCTGGTACATTACTAACAGTGCTACAGAATTGCTTTAACTGCAAATTTAAATGCCATAAAAACCTTCTTTCTACACCTATACTGCAATATCCCCTCAAAAATTAATTTTTTTATTGACTGTATTACTGAAATATGACTTTAGGAACAGTCCTAATGTTATTATTTTTAGCGTTTAACATCTCCCTACAGTCATGATAGCAACATCCTTCTAGTAGCTGTATTTTTGTCATCATGAGGGTAAAGGCTTAAAACTTTATGACAACAAACTATTGATCCTTCTCAAGTTGAAATGTCCTGAAGCCTACATTGTAAGTCACATAGAAATCTAACGCCAGCAACGGGTCATAGATGTAAACTAACATCGCAGATGAACTTTAATTGGAATATCTGTTCTGTTATTTTGTTTTGTCGTTCACAGCTGTGGCCACGTACGACACCAAGTGCACGGCGTGCCACCCCGGGACGTACTCAGACCAGCTGTCTGCCACCCAAGTCTGCACGGTGTGTACCGACTGTAGGGACCTACAGAGAACAACACTCCAGCCCTGCTCACCGGGACAAGATGCCGTGTGTGGGGCCTTACTCATTCCTGCTACAGGGCCAGGGGAGCTCAGTATGTTATATCGACTTGTTTTTTAAATGATTTTATTCACATATCTATGTCCATCACATAAGCAACTGTATATCCTACACATAAAATCTTTCACTTTCGATGAGAAATATGGTTTTATTTCAGTACAACGTAACTGTGCAGAAGTTTGTTCTAGATCTACAACTCACTGGTGGTAAATGCGAGACACTTTGTTTTGTCATGAACAAATTCTTAACACCTACATTGTACAATGTACTACCATGAACAGTCAAAACAAAAGTCGCTGCATTGATCATTGATAAACTTCCTTTTTTATCTCGGCCGCCTGAAGCGGCCGAGATATTGTGCTCCAAAATATGTACGTTGGATGGTTGGATGGAATAAATCTTGTATTTCGACCGTAGAAAAAAAAACCCAATGAAACCAATTACTCTGCATGTATACTTTACTTTGTGGTGTCGACCTACCGGATGATAGTGTCGTTATTCTGATACAACGAAGTTGCTAAAAAGAGGAAATGCTGTTTACCACAAAACCATTGTTTTATATCATAGTATGCATTTAATGTTCTAGAATTTCGCTAATAGCTGCTGTAATTGGACCAATAAATCAATGACATAAATTATGTACATTAACCTTCCATATTTGCTTCAGTCGCAAGATGTCGCTTTTGATTGGTGAATAAATCACTGTGACGCAAGTAAATATTCACTTGAAATGAGAAATTACCGCCCAACAAAACGGACCATTAGATTCCCAGTGCTGTATTACTCTTTTGTTCTTGTGGTCAACTTGTTCTCTTTGCTTGAATCGCGTAAAAGACCAAGGAAAATACAATGAAATCGGCAATCGCCGAGCCGCGCCCCGATCTGCCGCCGCCATCTTGGATTTTTTTGGAAAGCTGCAATTTGGCCCAAACCGCTAGAGGGGGCGAATTAAAATGTTTAATATATTCGGTCTGAAGTTTTAGTAGCTCTAGCAGTAGAGGAGAAGTTTGATAATGCATAGAACGGATAAAATAGAATAAAATTAAATGAAATAAAATAAAACAGAATAAAAAATAAAATGAAAATAAATAAAAAATAAATAAAAATAAAAAAATAAAATAAAATGAAAATTATTGTAGTGGTTACATATACTTAACGTTATATTGTATTTAGCAATGATCATTTTTCACTAATTCCATTGAAGCAAATGATAATGGAAGCCAACTTATTACCCTGTTTGGTGTTACAGGTATGAACATACTAGGTAATACATTCTTTCCTCTCTAGCAGTTACACAAATCTATGTGGACATCCTCCAAGAACACAAAACTACATGGCCAGCGGCCGAGATAAACTTTTTTCAAAAGTCTTGTTTCCTTAGTTTCCTCAGAAGAGACGTCACCACCGAAAGACGACTCTCGCAGCGTGCCAACTGGAGACTCTCTGGAACCGGAAAACAACTCTCCAGTGACAACAACACAAGCCATTGGAGGGAAGTCACCTCGGCCTGTTGAACTTCTCCAACCAACTCAGATAGCCATGATTGCCGGGAGTTCTGTACTAGTAGTATTCTTTATTGTAGCTGTAGCTGTTACAATTTTTTGTGTCTTGGAGAAAAGGCAGCGAAAAGCAGCAAGCAACCGACAAGCCAGACCAGACCCAGAAGGTGTGTGAATATATACCTAAATCAAAAAACGTTTTACAATTTTATAATGTGGTAGCACCTCTTTCATGGCTTATGAAGAAAAAGAAGTTTAAAAGAAGTTATGCAAAGTTAGGGTTATCATACACCCGACACGGTGACCTGAAAAGAAATTGGTGCCTTAAATGTGTTGAATCTTTGATGATAAAAATGTTTGAATGGTAACAACAAATCTCACCCATCAGTGGTTTTACATCTGATTCATGAATCATCACAGGAGGGTCTCAGCTGGAACATCTGATGGCTGTGCCAAACAACACAGTCACAGGGCGGGAAAGTGATGCTGGGGAGGAGGAAGATGGGGATGAAGGTGAGTTTCATCTGTCTCCATCTCTTGGCATAAACAGCTTTTCATGACTTGTATAGCTTGTGCAGTGATATGTAACTTGTAAGGACAAATTTTCCTGTTGCATTGTAAATTTCATAATCATAATATTATTATACATAATAATATGCTTCATTGGGCAAGACTCTTTAACATACATAAGCAGTTACTTGTTCTGTAAGACTTTTTTTAGGAATGAACTACAAAATTAGGTTAGCTGTTAGTTACTTCACCTTTCATACCAGATTTACACAGGAAAGCTCAAGAGTGTCAGTAAAGAATGACAAAATTTATTCAACCTTCCCTTTTCAGAGACGGACCCTAAAGAAGCTGCATCAGGTTAGTATCTATTTCTGTGCTTACGAAGCTTAGGTGACAGTTTCGTACAAAATCGTATATAATTGCAGAAATGCAGTCATGTTGGTAGTGATATGGTACAACTTAACATGTAATTCAGCTAAATGGTACTTTCTATAATTTTGTGCTCCGATTTGGAGGAATGTAGTAATCTTAACAGCTAAAATGAAAATTTTATGATTATGTTTCTTCGCAGCTGCCGGCTATCCAGTTCAGGACACGAATGACCCAAAAGACAATGAGCGAGATCTCTCTCTGAGTAAGTTCTTACCTTTCTTTGCTGTGGAAAGCTGTGACAGTCATTATCATGCTTTGAGAGATGAAGCCATCATTGATGAAGTGATAGGAAAATTCCAAATATGCCATGTACAATTATACTTGTTCCAACTGTAGCCCATCAATGGCACCTGTGCAACCTTCACTCCACCAAACACTGTAACAGTAGTCTGGACTTGCATCTTGACTTCTATGAAGGGCTCGTAATAACCCATGTCCTGACTTCTGATGAACTAATAATTAATAAATTGTAATTTCCAGAGGAAACTAACGACGGTCTGGAAGAAATCCCAACCAGATCAGAGGGAGCAGAAGGGACAACCTTCATAAAGGGTAAAACATTTCTCAAGTTAGATGTTTGTATAATGTGTGGAACAAGAGTGTGTTTGTTGCAGTCAGTTGTGGCATCATCTCTCTACGAAAGCTTGATGGCGTTATATATTAGGTGTAGTGCGTCTATGGTTTACATGTGTGCCAGAAGCTCTGGGTACAGAGTAAGTTTTTCTAGTCACCCAGGGTATTTATTATTATTGTTGTAGTCAGTGTGACTGTATGATACCATCTATCTTATGAAAGCTTGATGACTTAACATAGTTAAAGATATGATTAGTGTATGTGTCGGTTTTGTTACTATGAGATGTGGATTAACCTGAAATGAACTTCAATTTTTCTTTTTAAAGCACCTTGTAATCATCTTGTCTGTCATTTTAGATGCTCGGTCTCCAGTCCAGGACACCAAAGACCCAGAGGGAAACGAGAGAGACCTGAACTCAAGTAAAAACTCTCTCATTATCCTCTATTTCTTGCATGTCATCTGATGTTTGTGTCACATAAGAAAACGAGGAAAAATGTTGATACAGTATATTCAAATCAACTAACTAATCACTAGAGGTGTTAGGCCTTAAATCAGGAACCAAACAACATATCTTTTTTATGATTACTGTGTCGTAACATTGCCTCCCATTATCAATAATCATGGTGTATTATCAATATCGGTTGAATGTGTATTATCAATGATTATTGTGTATTATCACTAATCGTTCTGCATAATCAATAATTATCATGTCCACAGAGGATGCCACATACGGCCTTCAGGAGCTGACAGAAGATGGTGACATCACAGTAATAACTTCTCTGAGAGGTCAGGTTCTGAGTAATTACCTCCGTGTACGGAGGTTTTGTTCTTGGTGTCTCTGTTTCCGCAGTTATTTCCATTTTGTTACGTATCAAATGAAATTGTAATTTGTCCTAAAAGTAATGTGTGATGCAGGGGAGGGGGGGAAGAGACATTTGGAGTCGTTGGACTCCTTTTCAACATCAAAATCTAGTACCTGTTGCCTGGGTAACTGCTATTTTGATAATTCTTATTGCCTGGATCCCAACCTTCATTGATGCTCCTAACTTAGATAATACAAACATGATGAAACATGGTGAATTGCATTTAAAAAGTTAACAAGGTAACGTTACAAAGTAAAGCATGACTTGGCAACAAGCACAATTTTGTAACAATATTGTAAGCAACTAACTTATCATGAGAAAAATGCTACCTGGATATTTGCAGTGCTGTTCTAAACTCCAGGAAGATTAGCTACAAATGACGTAGACTCTGTATGAAAGTTAATGAAGTTTATATAAAGTTACTTCAAGTGATGTAAGACTTGTGTTTTGACCCTACAGAAGAGGAAGAGGATCTGTACAAGGAGACACTGGTGTAACCTCAGAGGCTGCTGTATCCTGTCTTCCTGCAGTTACAACTGATGGCCATGGACACTTTGAACAGTATTTTCCCAGAGATTTGTTCTGTATTTGAGCAGTATTTTTCTAGCCTGTTATCTATCTGTATTTATTCCTCAGGTCAACGTTACAAAATTTGTTTTCGAGAGGATATTTCATTTTGATAGGGTTACTAGAAATGAAATAGGGATACTTGCCCGGCTAGAATTTTTTTACAATAAGTAAGTTTTACTATACACATGCAGAGTGAACCATGAAAGATAGTGGACAGGAAACCTACCGTCCTGGCTTTCCCAAGCAGGCAGACATCCATCTTACGTCCATCTTCTCTCTGTTCACAGTGTTCAAAATAACCTTCTGCGTTATGCATTATGCAGGATGGTTTTCAAGATTGCAAAAGACAAAATTATACAATCTGCAATTTAGTAGATTGAAAAAAATCAGGTTTGGGATGTAATGATTTTAGAAAGTTGTATAAAAAATTATATATAGTATGGAGGCTTAATTTATTTGCAGAAAGTTTGACTCATCTACAATTACACATTGGAGAAAAGTTTTTCGACCACAGGTTCAGGTAACGGTTGTTTAGTACAATTTGCTAGACAGAGCTCCATATAATTTGATTAGAAGGTAAGAAATGTGTTTTTTTTTTAGATTGGTACAGCTAGTCTGTTTGCCCTGCATTATGTTGATAGGGCTTCAAATTGACTGCTTTATCTGCTTAGCGCTTAAGTATAGGACTTACAGTCAGCACTATCAGTGGACAAACCCCTGCTGCTAAGTGCTTGCACCACTGTGTGGCCCATTAAGGGCTATAGAAATGGGGGATTCCCCAAAAGCTGTGGGAAGGATTTTGCTCTAACGTATTATATCATAATTATATGGATTGGCGCTGGAGTTAAGTTGGATGAACTAATACAATTTTCCAGGGTCTGACTTCCATAGGCAATATTACATAGAATTACAAGCCATGTTAATATATTGTATTTATCAATGTTAGAAAAATGGCCAATTGTCCATTAGAAGTGGCCAGCACTTCTCTACATCACCCACAATTTTAACAAAACTGGCCTTCCAACAAATAATGATTGTGCTTTTTAGATACTCTATGCGGCCATCACTGTAATCTGGTCACCTGTCGCATGGGCTAATGGGCTGGGTAGTTTCCATGTTAGTCAACATTAGAGATCTTTTTGTCACTCTGGCCACCATAGATAGAAAATTGAATCCCACACAAGCAATAATTAGCCTGGGTGCCATCCGATTTGTGTTTCGGTGTTGCCATTACAAATCGGATGACACTCAGGCTAAGCAAACAAATTACAATACAATGCTTACAGTACTAATGCGATTGTGAACATAGAGGAGAATTGGTTTGTTTGTTATTTATCAATTATAGATGAAGTTCCCTGCCCAAAGTGTCTTATAATGCACAGTGCTTGATGACGGTGCTAATCAAGGTGTAAAAAGATTTGTCCACTTAGTCTTGTAATCCCATGCAAGTCTTCCTTTCTGCAACTGAAGATGACATATAAGTTCATAAGTTGTTTTTTTTTTTTGTTGCATAGTTTATTTTTCATAGTTGTTGTGAGTGCAATAGGGTTCCCTATAGATGTTTGGGGTACTTTGCTTTGGCACTAAATTCTTGTCAAACTGCTGCTCTTGCCATAGTATTTTTCTGGTTGATGTTTCCAGCATTTCAGCCCCAGACCATGTTTTTTTTACTCCATGCAGTTTTGTGATAGTTTCTGGGTTTTGAATGCTTGCTGTCTAGAACATGGTATAAAATCAGAACAGAGCATAATAACAAAATCTTTGTTAAGTTGAAGAAAGTAACAGAGGCTAGATAATTATAACGTAAATGTTGTAATTTTTATAATTGTATGATGAATTTTACTTGCAAGTGTGATCCTATGAATCTATACATTGTATAATCATAGATTGTCGTTCGGTCTGATATAGCTATACCATTGTGCTGCGTGCCTGCAAAGCTGCTGTGTTATGCCGAAGGGTGGTTATACCAATTATACTGATACAGACGATTCTGTCTTTTGAAAATGTTGCTTAATGCATTTTGATGAGCAATGTAATATCTAATTTCCAATGTGCAAAGCACGCACCATGATTTAATGCCGTAATACTATGTAGAATGTATATCGTGAAAGGTTTTGATTCTAAGAACTTAGAAAACATAGTTAACAAGATGAACTAAGTTAGATATTGGGTTTTAGACATGTATTAGGTTACTGGTTATTACGATACATGTAGCTTTTATAATTTTATAAAGTAAGGCCACACCAATTTAATTTGTTGGTTCTCGGATTCGCCTCTTCATTTTTTTCTGATTTGACAAAAAAAAAAAAATTCTGGTTCTGAATCAACTAAAAAATGCTCATATTTTGCCCCCAATAGTTGAGGAAATTCTTTTTCTTCCTAGTTGTTGCAGTTTTTTTATCTGTCAATGCAGTGGCTTGATTAAAAGTTCAAAATTTATACTTTAAATTTTAACCCAGCCTTTTTTGTTGACTTCATGGCCGATATCGTAGCATTTGGGGCTATAATAGGATGCCTAGACCTGTTTTTATTTTTTTTTTCGCCCTGTCGCTTCATATTTTTTCTGAAAAAATCCGAGAACCAACAAATTAAATTGGTGTGGCCTACGTTTTGAATGTTGCGGAACTTGGAGCTTAACATGTAAAATTGTCCTAGTTGTACATATTGCATGTGTTTAGTTTTGCTCAGTGGTCTATGTTTAGTTGTCTTATTTTCTGTGCTATGTTTTTACTGTCATTACTGCTGCTACCCAGTATGTATTGCTTCCCAAGGAACTACATGTACCATCAAATCTCCTTGTATAATTCTAGTGTATGTAATAATCAGCCCAGAAGTTGGATCATGATCAGTTAACCCTTAAAACGTCATAATAAGGAAACATAATCATGAATGCTGCACATTTAACTGATAACAGGAATACATTTTGATTCATTCTGAAAGCATCGCACATTGTGTGTCAGAGTACTCTTTTCCTTACGCATGCATGTTGTTTAATAATGTTGAACATACTGGTTTAAGAGTATATAAGGAGGAAATTATTACTGGTATCATGGCCTCTCTACATGTGGTACGTCTGGCCTGGGCTCCATGTTAGCTAGCGACAATAGGCAACCAGCGGTTAACTATGGAGGACAGCACGCAGGCTACTGAAGCTCCACAGAACTCAAGAAATCTGAGTACAGTGCCGACAGATAAATGCCGCAAAAGGCCAGCATTTGCCGGCTTGTCGTAAAAGCCGCTATTTATATGTTTTTTGGCTGGAATTTTTTATTTGCCCGTGCGCACTAGCTTGGGGTTTTACAGAGGATGTCATCCATCATCATCATCATATCTTGTCTGCCCACTGCTCCAGCCAGTCCAGGGCTTCCTGGTTTACATCGTACAGGTCTCGTTTGGTGACAGATGGTCCTAATTCGCAGTCCTGTAGGATGTGTTGCATGGTTTGGGTAGGGTGTCCACATGGGCAGTCAGCTGAGCTCACTCGTCCCCATTTTAGCAGATTGTCCCTGGTCCTGCCCACTCCACACCTAGCTCTGTTCAGAGCGGCCCATTTCCTTCTAGGCAAATGGGTACCATATGAGGTAGAGACTCACATGGGCTCTGTAGAGCTTCGTTTGGAGGAGAAGGGTCTGTAGTTCTCCACTGGTCCAGTCGGTACGTGGCAGAGTCCTTGGGGTACAAATCCTGTACGACCATAAAACTCCTTCTGGACTTAAGTCTTCTGCTGATGTGTTTGTAATGGTGGAGAGGCTGTCTTGGGTCTTGTTCCTCTAGGAACTTCTGACTTCTAGAGTGAACCTCTAATATTTTACTCCGGAGCAACATGTTTATATCGATATATGTATATCGATAAATGCATAATTTTATATGCACACACACACGCATACCCATACACACACACACACACACACACACACACACATACACACACCAGTGAAGACTTGCGCGTCTGCTGCTGCTTCTTCTGCTGATGTGCCATGGCATTTCGGTCTCGATCTTCGTTCGCTACCGACGGACTTCGATGCAGTTTTGTCTCCGCAAGAGGGACTGGTTTCTCGCCAGTTTCTGCTGCCACTTTATAAAAGTTTCTGACCAACACCCACAGACCTTCCACCAATCACCTTCACATGCAAACCAATCGACTACTCCGGATCCGCAAATCACGACACCAACGCTTGCCATGCGGCCAATCAGGTACTACAGACGTTGACTTTAACCACGCCCCCACTTCATGATGCAATCCCGACGGTCCCGCTGTCATGTTGAATAGCTTACTGTCAAAGTAACAATGTCGGTAGGCGTGGTATCGTCCTTCAATAACGTTGCCTTGACAACATATTTCTTAGATTACCGGGTTCAAAAAGTGCACACTGACCTTTATCTGACCTCCTCCATTGACGTCATGACACCCTCATCATATATATCATATTAAAAAATACATAAATAATATTTATAACAACATAAATATTTCATAGTTATGAATAAATTAACTCATAGTTATGAATATATCAATATAATCGATGTATGTCGTTAATTAGCTCATTAGCTACATTCCTGCATGCATCTGCATATCCTTAACATAATCTGCATACTCGTTAACATAATGAGGGTGACCTCTGACCTGCTCCGGCTAGAAAATGGGGTGTCTGCTGTCGACTATATACTACTCATACTGATTTCTGTGTGGCAAAAATGCGATATCACTGACAGAAAACGGCTGTTTGTTTTGTATCGTTCTAGCTATTTATGATTGGTACTTCAAAATTAGGAGACTGTTCACGTAGCTTATTTTGAGCGCTTTAAGTATGAAATGATGATGAAAATGTGCTAAGAAATGACAGTAAAAGTGAATATCAGACAGATTTCCTCTCCAGAATGCTTTTGTTTTGTCACCCTGAAATTGCATCCGATGTCTTTCAGACTCTAGGAAAACAATAGGACTGTTGCAACACACCATATCAGAGTCCATCTTGGCAAGCCGTCGGCTCCAATTAGACTTCACAGACATTTTAAAGTAAAAACTCTGAGTCACCAAAAATTCAGATAAGGGGGAATTGTCGCTCAGATTCTTTAAAGTCAGTCTCATTGGAGATAGTCAAAACATTATGAGCTGAGATAAAGTGCAGGTCATTCTCCGGGTCACCTCAGGGTCCTTCCCATTAAATGAACTGTTCCAAACTCACACCTGTACAAAAATAGAACATTCCAAAATAACTTCTGCCCAAAGCGACTTATTTGCCAAGTCATCCAAGTTTAAGATGGACCGTTCCCAGTTTGAAAACATTTAAACAAAGATTGTTTCATCTAGTCAAGAATGAAGTATTCCATTGGCCTCATGTCCGAAAACATTTCCACAAAAATACAACTTTTTTGTGTAATCAGCCCTGTCAAAAGGTGATCCGACTGTCTCACACTGCCACCTAGCAATAGTATTAAGAACTGCAACAACTTAAGTATGAAAGGTGGAACTGTATACATTGCGTGCCGCTCGTATGCGGCATTTTGGACAGTTTTCTTCCCCAAATAAACGTAACGGCCTGTAACCGTCAAGACACTCCCAACAAGTCTGTGGTTAATTGGTAGAAATAAAATGCTGTTAAGAATCTCTGAATCAGAATATCCCTTCTCAAAGCCTTCCTTTTACCAAGGAGCTTTTATCACAGAGCTTTTGAGATGAAAGCTCCTCCCAACAGTCTCCCGCCGCCATGTTGTTCTGGAATTCACAGTTGGCGCGGTCTGTGGCGCAATGCATCATGGGTGCCACCTGGTCATAATTACAATCATTAGCGCTACAAAAACCAATGTACGGCTGGAATCAGATGTTGTTGAGCCGAAACTGACGTTTATAAAACAACAACCACACCCCACAATAGATAGAAATGACAATAATATAACCAACGAAGGAAGGTTCCGAAAAGTGCTCTCCAAGCAGATCTTTTGCTGGCTGCAAGACAGCATCAAGTTGGTAAAACAGTATCATTGGCAGGTTAATTTTCAATACGCCATCCGGAGAAAAAATATGAGTACAAAAAAAAGCCTGCGTTAAAAACGAATAAAACATCAACAATTAGCCGAAGCCTAAACCTCTGCTTTTGAATTAAAATCTCAAGATATCAATATGTAACTAAGTGATTATATCATAATGTTACATTATATGTATTGATCCTCCATCGGCTATAAAGTTAAAATTTATCGTTACAACTTCCCCTAATTATAAACTAGATTCCCGAAGACGCATTTGTCCTAACACTTTTATTTCTTATGCCTATATATATTTCCTTTCATTTATTCATTGGCAAATACTAATTTACGTTGGATTTTGAGTGGCATGTGGCCAAATAGACAGATAACATGCCAGGGGAGTTGGTCCGCTGAAGGAGTACATTTCACACCAAAATTGGCTCTCCAGAAATGTACTCCTTCAGCCGACCAACTCCCCTGGCATGTTATCAGTTTACTGAACCAATTTCTGATCTTTTCAGCCCCTTCTGATAAGCCCGGTAGAGGTTAGATACAGATAGTCAATGAAGTAACGCGGCATCGCACAGAGCTGAGACGGAAGTGAGGTCAACTTCAAGCCAAGGACGCCGTAATATCCCTATATTTACAAATATGGGACAGAAAATAAAAACTGCCTAAGTGTGAGATATGCCATCAAAATGGAAAAACACTTTGGTGAACAGAACGTTTCTCCATCTTCCTGTTTCGATGTTCAGTGCATGGCAATAAATATAAAGCCTTGTTATAACTTGTACCAAGTCTTGTTTGAAAGCGTCCCAAACTGAAATGTTTGGAAGGTACGTTGTTTACCTTTCTCCCTTGTGTTGTGGAAAAAACTAAGTTTACCTGTTCAAAGTCACCAACATTCTTGGGTTACACCATGTGAGAGAATTCAGGTCATAGTTCATGCATGCTTTGCCTAATGCATTGTTCACATCAAATAGCTACTGCTTGTGTCAGGCCCCAAGGGCCCCACTGAGGGGAATTCTTTATTTCCAAGAAGGCACTGCGAGGAGATTAGGGACAAGAACAACATAGCGAAGCTATGCAGCAATACTAGAGCAGATCTAGAAACTAGAGACAAATAACAAAATATTAATTAATATACTTCATGAAAATGAGACTCTTTTTTGGATGAACGATAACTAAAATTGTATAATTTGTACACCGGGAGGGTCAACATCATTTGGCAAAGGTATGAGGTCATGGAACTCTTGTTGCGCATAATTTTGCACTCATTACAAAGATGGCATAACAACAACATGACATAACACTAGTTTTACTGGGTTT